TGACCACTTCTGAGCAAAAAGATGTTGCAGATTCACGACACAGCGAAAAGACTTCTCCCGAGCAAAAGGTCTTGTGCATCAGTATGGCAAACAACGAAGGACAAATCACATGTGCACGAGAGGGAAAATGATCCGCTGGAATTACAACCCACGAGGACAGAGAAACCACGGTGCGCTGTAGTGATTCGGATGTCCAGTGAGCACGATCATGAAGGTTGGAGCGATGGGCATCAATCAACTGAGTCATAACAGGCCGTAGATCAGTAAGGAGACTGGATCCATGTACATGCCACCGACGAGCTAGTTTGCGAAGCTGTGTGGTAAAACGCTGATGCAGCATGTCAACATCGCCAAAATATTGATCCTTCATGGACGCGGTCATGATGTCAATGTCGATGTCTGCATTGATGCGTGAGAACTCATCTACCATTACTACATGTTCATGTGCACGATGTAGGAGGTGGTCATCAATGTCTGAACAGCGACACGGAAAAGATATGTCAGGAGTCCACCTGCGTTGCCATGTGCGGTAGTTGTAGATCCTGTCCCCCAAGGTAGCACTGCGAGTTTCCACCACCCGGATCTTTGGAAGAAATAGGGAGGGAAACAAGTCACGATGCGAAGCAACCCAACGTTGTAACCATGTGCCAAGCTGAGCTTTCCAATTCCGTACATGTAGAGGTGGGAGAAGTAGTTGTGTCAAAGTGCTTGGTGATTGAAGTTGTCGTTTGTGCATTACCTGGGTGAGGAGCTTCTGTGCCTTAGAACGAAAAGGCTCGTTGACGAAGACGGAGAGTCGTAGGAAGTAGTAGAGCTGAGTAGGTGGAAAAGCCGCCGACAGTAAGTCTCGCATAGCCTGGAACGACGCACCTGTGTTGGATCCCAGCTGATAAAGAGTGGAGTAATGCGCTTGAATGTCATCCAACATTTCAGGTCGTAATTGCCGTTGAAGATCCGGATGTAGTCGTCGTCGAAAACGTTTGTGTAGCCCGAGTGAGGTGGGAGATGACAACGAATGACGCCGAAAGTCAACCAGATGCTCACGGAAGCCAATTTTTCGAAGAAGTCTATGTACCCAGGGAGCATTCAAATGCGGACGTAGCAAGTATTGCCACTTGCTTTCCTGGACCCAAACCGAGGAAATGGGGAGTTTAATCTCAACCGGAATGGCACAGAAAAGCCAGTAAGTGTTGGATCGCTTCCAGTAGTGAAGTGCAGGTTCGAAGAAGGCATGGCGTCCCCGAAGTAGTTGTAGAAATTTGCCACTGCGTGAGTGTTCTCGTCGAAGAACATCCTGATCAGTTGCTCCAACGTAGTATGGACTGTGCCATGGAGAAAGTCTGATGTAGACGCATGGTTGCTGATGGTGACCTGGATCTTGAATGAAGTCATAAAGGTCCGGGAAACGTGTCCGTAGTGAGCGAAGGTGTCTTGTATCCGCAAAAGTGGAATGCATGATTTCACACAACAGAGACGTCTTGTAGAAGTGAAGAACCTCGAAAAACGGCGGGACATACCCATAATCTTGAGAAATGAGACGCTGCAAGAAACTGATCAATAAATAAACAGTGCACCGGCACCTGTGAAGTTCATACCTGTTGGCCACAGTGTGATAAGACTGCGACATGGAGTGAATCGGGATCTGAAGTGCGATCCGAACCACAACTAGTACTTCCAGAATAAGGCCCAGCCAAGGTAGCCGCTCAACTGACTCATATTCATCCATTGGTATCGATGGTGGTGGGAGTCCAGGAAAGCAGTATTGCCAGCACGTAGAGAACATTGTCAACGAGTGTAGAAAGGTATCTAAGGAATGCCATTGTGCAACATCATCATAGATTCCACAGCGGCGAAGCTCAGCCAACATGGTGAACATGCAACCAATGAAATCTACAATGTGGCGGCGACAGGAATGCAAGCGGCAATTTACACCAAGCAATTCACAACGCAAGCAAAGACAAGCACATCATCAAACAAGTGCAGAGCAAGAAGAGGTCGGACAAGTTTTGAACCATTCATCAATCATGACACAGCTGCCACTCCGGGCTCATAAGTGAACGAAGGTAACTGCTCACCCTGTGAGTAAGCGGGCAGTCACGATGAGGTGACACAACGCCTTCTCAGTGAGCTTGGTGAGGTAGCCAGGCTCCAGTCCCCACAGAGCCGCCATCGCCCCAAACGTAGGCGCGTCTCCTTTTAGGATGCGTTGACGCGCCTGAAAGAGCTGGGTCGACATGGATTCCAAGGACTTGTTGCCGTTGAGACGGGATGGGTGATTGGCCCACTTGATCAATGACGCCAAAGTAGTGGTAGTGGGCGATTGCTTGAGATACAAGCGTGGTTGATCACTAGCATGTGTAGTACTTGATGACGTCTTCAGGCGTGCTGTGCATGGTGAGCAATTGTGACGCCGCCGGCTTGGAAGGCGGTGAAGAAAGTCCGTGCAGAGACTGGATGATTCGGGGTTGCACTGCGCCATCAAATGACTTGCCATCAAGGGCTGCTGCACTGACCGTAGGTAGGGAGCTGGTCGGTGACGAAGATTGTGTGTGATTGGTCGGTGGTGGTGTGACCAACTCTGCATCATCCTTCTGGGTTGGCACCGTAGGGGAAGTCGAAGCGCGTAGCGATGCCGAATACTGAGCCTGTAGCAACTCATGAGCTCGATTTAGATCATTGAACTTCTTGACCATGTCTTCCGTTTGGGTAGAGGGCGTGAGAGTCGCGTGTTGCTGCTGAAGGAACTGGAGCACCAAGTTGGCCAAATGGCCATGAACCTTGATACGCTGGTTGAAGTCGTCAAGGTTGAGCCCCAGTGAGCTGGCAAGGTCCTTCTCCAAGGTGAGCAGGTTGATCGACTGTGATCGTCGTAGTAGTTTGGAACAGGTACTCCAAAGTAGGGCCTCGGTGCGAGTGCGAAAGCCTTCCCATGTCACGAATCTGCCGTGAGCAAATGGTCGGAGCAGCCAGTTGGTGATGCCCCCGTGAATGACCTGAACCAGGCGAACGTCACGAATGTCCATGCCGGACATGTCACGTAGGTTGTTGTGCGGGGTGTTGGCGACCGTCATGGGCAGGCTGAAGTTGTAGAGCTGGTTGATGTCTAGCATGCCATCTCCAGGTGTCCAGTCAACCGGTGGTGTAAGCCATGCTTTCTGAGGTCGAACTGGCAGGGCTGCAGGGTATCCAGGCGATGGTGTAGCTTGAGAAGGAGTGACCGGTGGTGGCATCACGGGCGTCATGAACTTCGCTGGCGTGGGCTCTGGAGGAACCGGCATCATGTAGTTGACCGGTGAATGATGGAACTGCTGCGTGGGGTTTGGAATCGATTGATAATTGCCTGGCATCACCGCAAAATTGTTGCTGGAGTTGTAGCCTGAATTGTGTTGCCAGGATACCAGGTTGTTCCAATCCATGCCCTCCGAGACCTGATTGTCATTGCGTTCGCGTCGGCGTGCTTTGCGAGCTTGAGGAGAAGGACTCCGATCCCGTCTGCGCCGTGTTCTGGATCTGTCACGATCATCCCGTCGAGACATGATGGCACAACAAACTCAAAACTGCGACACCTCAATCTTGAGAGAATCGAATCCGACAAGATGCAAGTCAACGCAAGTTCAAGCCAAGCACAGATCAACATGCGGTCATGCAGCCACCAGCAGCGATTGTGAGACTTAGCTATGATCTGACGGCTGTCTTCCCTTTAGTGAAACCTCGTTCCTGGTTAAATCAGAAATTCCGCTGATCTATGATAAGCACGTTGAGGTCAAATTTTCCGACAGAGCCGGCCCGGGGTCACACAATGGGTACACCCGAGGATTCCCCACGAATGGGGTGTACACACTTAAACTCCAGATGGAGTGTGCTAATCTTTCGAGTACAACTGATGAGTCTCGAGTACAACTGGTGAGTCTCGAGTATGATGAGTTTCGGCTCGCAATGGCTCGCAAGACGCTTGGTTTCCGCGGGCAAAGAGGGGACCTTGTTGGGGGAGTCCTCTGGCTGCCCACGACGGGGCCCAAGAGCGACTCGATGCAGGTACATAGCTGAGCGTCCCCAGCCACCTCCCTTCCAGTGACCTAGCTTCGTTGGATCAGGTCAGTCACTGGAAGCCTGATCCCCCTGCTACTAATTGTGGTGACAGGGTATTCTGCCACTCCGCACACACACACATTTAATTCATCTCGTTTTACCCTAGCTCGTGATTTGCCCCAAAAAAAAATGACCACTTCGCTTGACGTCAATCCGAGCTCTCGTCATCTTAAAATAATCATGATTTATTGGCAACCAATCCTAACGGATTGGCCTCGATCATTGTATATTGCTATGGCAGTTGCCAAGTTTCTGACTACGACCCCCAGAGACAGCTTCCAAAAACATGAGCCGAACACGCTTAATTGCGTGAAGATCACAGGAGGGGATCCCTTTCGTTCCCTAACTTCACTATGGATCACACGCACCCAAAGCAAGACGATCAAAATGCGCGTGATGAAGGTGGGCACTTGTATGCTGCCAACGCTTCCTTGCTTTACTGTTCAGGCCCCCTGATAGAAAGAATGCATTTGGGCAGTCAAAATAACTCACCTTGACCAGCTGATTCAGAGGCTCCCCTTGTAAAGCACGTGGCTTTTAGATGTATCCTTTCGGGAACCCTACTGTTTACAGCATGTGGGCCTGCATTCCGGGGACGTCGGAGTCGTTGGTTCCATTTTTAACACCACCGAGTGGTTGAACACTTGGGTTTCGTCCCGAATCAGGGTATGAGTGCTGGGTAAAATGACGCGTCAAAGAGTGGTCAAACATATCCCCTCTCCTTCCCCACACACACACCACCATGCCCCAACCCACGGTACTCACCCCACGTCAATTTTTCAACCACCTTCTTTAGGATACCTGGGTGTCAAGTAGAGGATCTGCTGTTTGCTTTTGCTTGCACCTGAAGTGCTCTACCTCCGCCTGTGCCCCACGGCCCCATGGCCAAAACTGCGCCAACCCCCGGTGGCCTCGTAGGAGATGCGGCCATCGTGCTTGAGATCCGCCTCGCTCCTGAAGCTCAAAAAGGTCAAGGCTGCGGCCCTCCGGTCTCCCGAAAACTCACACAATCGGGACTTCTTTAGGGAACCCCTAAGAGAGGGCGGGGGTGGTCCAAGGGGGGTGGTTCTTTAAGGCTCCCCAACACCTGAAGGAATCCAGGGCTCTCAACTTACCCACCCCCCTGGTACCTCCCCAGGGATTCCAGAACTTCGTTGCATCTTTTTTCTTGCTGCCGGGCAACCTGACTCCTGGTTTGGACCAGGAATGGCAAGCCCCATGGTGGGTGGGAGGTCAACGTGTTGAAAAAGTAATCTCTTTCGACCTTCCTGGTTGCTTTCTGAAAAGCTACCCCGTAGCAACACAGTCACGCAGCAGTGTAGCTGTTGAGTGGGTGGTTTTGATTTCTTTCTTCCGCGTGGATCTGATCTGATTCTGGAAGTCATTGTTTAGGACACAACGTCTCGACCAGCTTTTGGACCATGGATGCATGCCTCTGGCAAAACAGATATAGTCACATTGATCGGCAAAGACTGGGATCCCCAAGTAAAGGACCACGTCAGGGGTGTATATATGTAGGCTGGTTGATGTGGTTCCCTGACTCCGCTGTGGCCCAAATAAGTCCTTGACCACACTCGAGGGCCAATGCACGTTTAACGCTGAGTCCACCGACTCACAGGCCGGAACCAACTCTTCCTATCATTTGAGATTGCATTTAAAAGCCTTGCTGTGGTTAGAGCTTCTGCTTTAGGGTTGTCGTTTTTGGGGGTTGAACTCCTTGTCAGCAAATGTTTTGACACAACCTCATTTCCTTGCGGCACAACAAGTTGAACTGGACCTCTTGCGTGCATCAACCATCATTGCACTCCCACCAAACCTTCCTCCATGAGCCCCATGCTCCGTCGTTTTGGTGCCAGTCATCAGAGGGGTGAGGAGAATTGACTGGAGCAGTTGTTGGAGGTGGGAGGGTAGCCCAAACAAGAACCCGGGATTCAAGTCCCAATCCAAACAACCAACATAACCAACCAAAGGTTATGGGAGGAAAGACGTCTGGAAGGCGACGTCCAAACAAAAACTGGGCCCGTTGCAAATGGGCTAAGGAGCCCACCTTTTTGCGATGTCTTGGTTGAGAGCTTGAAAAGGGAAACAAAGGAAAATACAATTGACAATGGGTTTTAGGGACTCACTATGCAACAACCATTCAGCGCCTTGGTCCTGTGTTCCCTGCGTCGTCTTAGAAAGGGACATCGGCTTGATCCCAATTGTGGGAACCCCACCAAAAGCAGACTTCGAGGGAATCCACCCGAGCACACCCCAACATACCCACGTACGCCACGATTACAGTGCCACCCGGGAGCAACAAGGTCTGCACTTCGTTGCCCTCGAAGGTTTCCCCTAAGACGTCCCGCAGATTCTCCGCCTCGTTCGGCCAAACTGCGTGGCCAAACTGCAAGGGTCATTTTTTTCGTCCGAGAAGAACCGGATGGGGTCGCTTAGGTGTGACTCATGCCGGCCATGGTGTGAAGCCATCCTGGTTGTTGTGAAAGCCTGGCCCTGGCGGCTCATGTCAAGGATGTTCGTGAGAGCAATCGGGCCACCAAATGTGACAAAGCTCTTTAGTCATGCATGCGGTTTGCTTGAGGCTGCAAATTTGTGGGCAGGGACTTCTCTCTAGGGCTCTTCCCCATCCAACCACACCACGGGGTTCTCTATATGTTTCCGCATCTCACGGCTCTTCCCTTGGAGAAACCGGCGACCGTCGACCGTCATTCCATACAGCAAACTTTTCTGGGTTGTTCAACATCTCACTCCCTGAGTTCCTGGACTTTAAGCCTTTTGGGAAGACCATTCAGTAAAAAACAAACAAAATTGTTTTCTTTTTTTTTTCTTCGGACCATCCACTTAGGAAATGAGAAATAAAACTAGAACCCCAAAAGCTCCAAAAGGGGGGTACACTGCGCGCGGACATATCGTGTTGTCAAACTGCACTTGACTGCCAATGCGTTTTCAGAAGAGCAGCAAGCCACGGAGACGACAGTCGAAACAGTCCCTTGGTGATAAGTCGGTGCGGGGAAAGAGGCGCTCTGTTTGGTTGAGGGCCACTTCTGGATCTCGCGCGTTTACACCACATCGGTGCGCCCCAGCCCTTCCCCGGGTTCGCGCCAGGCGCTCCGTTGGGGTCTGTCTTTCTTGAGGGTATGTTTTGTTTGTGGGGTGGGTGGGTGGGTGGGTGGGTTGAAGGGAAACCAAAAGGAGAACGCCCCATCTTGGGCGGTCCCATAAAAAGAAACACCCATTTGACAAACCCCCCCCCTCCCCCGGCACGGGGTCCGAGTCACGGTGATGTACCCTGATCCGTCCACGTCGAATCTCCGGAAGGCAACCTGGCAGAGACAAATGCCACGGACGGAAGGTTCAACGTCTGGGATGCAGTGCGGCGTGTTGCGTTGCTGCGCCAGTTGCTTCCTTTGGCTTCTTTCTTCTTCATCTTCTACTACTACTGCTTCTTCTTTTTCTCCTTCTCCTTCTCCTTCTCCTTCTCCTTCTCCTTCTCCTTGTCGTTCTTCTTCTTTTTCTTGTTCTTCTTCCTTCTTGTTCTTCTTCGATTTAATCTTGATGCTGTTACAGTTGCTGCTGGTGCTGCTGCATCTTTGTCCTCCTCTGTTTCGTCTTACTTCTAGAATCGTTCCTCTTTTTGCTCCACGTTCTTTCTTGACCAGGCTGAGGGTACCTGCAACAAGATGGGACGTTTGGCTGGTTGCAATGGAAAATGAAGGAGCCCCAAACGGGCAAACACAATAGTTCAGTCTCTGGTCCTGTTCTAGTCGGGCCATTTTTGAGCTCAACAGGTTCGCCCCGCACCTTCAAAAGGTGGTCATGGAGTGCGATCCGCGAAGACACCTCGCGGCAAAGAGACATGCTCCTTGAATTCAAAGTGAGGCACAGCAGTTCGGCAAACTACAATTCAGTTTCCCTCTAACTGCTGGTTTGGTCTTTGGCTTCCCCCGGAAGCCGCTTCGCCCGCGCGTGCCTCTGGAAAAACAGTCTTTGTGGGCTCACGGTGAATGAAGGCCACCCCCAAGAGTCCGGAATGTTTCTGAGCAAATTTGTTTGGGGCTGTGCATTGTTGGAGTTGGAAAACATTCTTGGGCTTGGTACAAGGGGAACAAAAGGAAAGCCACCACTCTGGGATTCGAATCCCATTCTTCAGCCTCCCTCTAGTTGGTGATTTGAATTTGTGGTTTGGGGAATTACCCCTGGCTTGTCTACAGGGTAACTTGGCTTGCGATGGAGGGCTTGTCGGTTTTGGGAGTCGCTACCATTTTTGGGGGTTGTCAAGGGACAAGAAGGAACACCGAAATCCACTTTTGGGGGGTGGGGGGCGGGGATCCCCTTAAAAAAAAAAGAACTCAACTTTGACCGGCGTCCAAAAAACCCAAACTTAGAACCAACTTCCTGTCGAAAGTTGAGCTCGGCCCAAGGGAGCCCTTCGGCTGACAGCGGAGGCACCAAGGTTCTTTCGGTGGGAAATGACTGAGCACCCGGGTGTAACCTCACCGGAACTATCCCCCCGTTTGGCTTCAATGGGAGGTGGTTGGTCCCCACTTCCATTTTTTAAGGGGCCGGGAATCTGGAGCCCTTGCCGACATCAATTGTTGCGCCCGTTTTTCAGAGCTACCTGCCCCCCGCCCCCTAAAAGGGGAGGTCCAGTTCTGTCTCACATGTCCGATGCGCAGCTTGTTGTTTCGCGTAAGTTCAGCACCCCCGAAAGCCCAGCACGTTTTGGGTGTGTCTAGGAGAGAGCACCCTCCAAATTGGCTTACCAGACGCTGCACCTCCATCTACCTGCAACCTTCCTTAAATGCCAGGCAAACGCATGATAGCCATGCCTGAAGTGCGTATGGGCAATCTAGGCAAGGGATGTACTTTGTATGGTTGAGAAGGGGGGTCCAGAATGGTGGCATGCCCCAACACCAAACCGAGCCAAACCAATTTACGGCTGGTACTGATTTGGGGATGCTGTGCACGGGAGCAAAAAGGCAAACAACCTGTTGCGAGATTGTAAGCAAAACTGCTCTGCTGACCCCAGATGTTTTTACGGAGAAGCAAGCCAACAGGTTCCCCGATTGAAAAGTATCCCTCGAGCTCCGAGCATACTTTTTCCGCAACCTTGTATGACGAGAACTACGTTTTAAACAAAAGGGGCTTTCGTGACGAAGCTATATAATCGTGGCTCCCTGAATGGAAAATCCTTCTCGTGGTTGTCTGATACAATCCCAGGTGATGACCATCCCTGCCACCCCCAAGTACCCTCTTCCAACAATAGTCTTCCAAAAACCTCCCTGTCGGCTTTTCCATGAGGATAAAGTATCCCCCGTTTATACGGGGGAGGGGGGTGGTGGTCCCCCAATTCTAGATGGAATTCCAAGTGTCACCCGATTCGCTCGTTTTCTCCCAGAGCTCAAGTATAATATAAAAAAAAGAATTACTTCGCTTCGAGCAATCCCCACCCTCCACTCACGAGCTTACGACCATTACGACAAATTCCTCCACATCCTAGGGACTTCGACTCAAATCAACCCCTTCCCACTGATAATTTGCCGCGCAAGAATGGCAAAGCACTGCTTCAAGCCCATTTCAAGCTTATTGGCGAGCAACAACTACTTGCACGTGGCCGATCACGGCGGCAAGGCACCAGGGTTATGCATCTGCAGAAGCCACCGCCAGCCCCGCGCTCTGCAGAGCACACGCGCGGGCACCAACAGCAAAACCAAACTGGCGAGCTGCTCTGGCGGGATTCTGGCGGGATCCACTGGCGAATACTGGCGAGCCGCTCTGGCTCGATATTGGCCGGATACTCGGCAGGATCCACCGACAAGGGATACTCAGCGGGATACTCGGCGGGATCCGCTGGCGAGCTGCTCTGGGATACTCAGCGGGATACTTGCCAGATTCCACTGGCGGGCTGCTGTGGTGGGATACTCGGCGGGATCCACTGGCTGGCGTGATACTTGATGGGATCCACTCACGAACTACTCCCATTGGCGGGCTGCTCTGGTGGGATACTCGGCGGGATCCACTGGCGAGCCGCTCTGGCGGGATACTTACTGGCGAGCCGCTCTGCTGGGCGGGGGCCCGGTCCGGCGGGATACTCGGCGGGATCCACTGGTGAGCCGCTCTGGCGGGATCTCGGCGGGATCCACTGGCGAGCTGCTCTGGGATACCTCAGCGGGATCCACTGGCAAGCAGCTCTGGCGGGATACTGGCTGGGATCCACTGGCGAGCCTCTGGCGGGATACTCGGCGGGATCCACTGGCGAGCTGCTCTGGCGGGATACTGGGTGGGGGCGTGGTGTAGAAGCATCGCAAACGCGGATTCCAACATAAAATCTAACAACCCCTTCCTGTCGGGTGGGGAAAAACATGGCGCGGAGAAGTGAGTTTTTTTTGTTATTATTATTATTTTAAATCAAAGGAGCCTTCCTTTTGGTTTCCCTTTAATTTAAACAAACTCCAATAAGGATCATTAGATCATTCCCCTCCAAAACACACACACACCATGTTGCGGTCATGTTTGTTGGTTTCCACCACACATAAATGGGTGATGTCCTTTTGGCTTAAGCCCCCAAACTTTCTGGTGTTCAATCGGGGCGCCATGGCCGCAAGGAACTCGTGGTAGTTTACCTCGTCCTGGCGTCTTCGCGCCACTCAACACCGGAGCCACAAATAGGGTGTGGCACTGACCCTACTTGTTCAACCAATAGGATGTATGTGTCTGCTTTTAGGAATCGTACCCCCGAAGAAAAAGGTCCATGTTCTGCGCGGCGTCCGTTTAGCGAGAAAAAGGGGGGGTTAACAAAGACAGATTCCCAAATTGGGGTCCAAGGAAGGGAGCCCAGCACAAGGGATCCAAGAAAGTGGAACCATGTTGGGGGTCCAAAGGCTTTGGATCTGACAGCCATTGGTGTGAGCATCAAAGTAGGCCATCCCTATGACCGCTTTCTCATGTTCAAGTGGGTTCTCTTGGCACAATCGATGGCCTTAAGTGGCCTTGAGACTCAAGATCCCGAAAATGTCCACAAAACTCTCCCATGAAACGCGTCACATCTTGAATCATTTCAAGGGTTGAGTACTGACTTACTGACACTGATCAATTTAGGTGGATTGCTAGGGGTGGCTCCCCCACCCCAAAAAAAGAGTGAAGGACTCTCTCTGCAATGGGGCAGCCCCAAGGGTTCCCTGGGGCTGAACCATGAGCCCATGTGTATAAACATGCCTAGTGCTTGCCCGTTGCAAAAACGATACCCCGTGATTCGTTCAACGCGGGATTTATCAATTCAGAAACTTATTTTATTCCGGATGGATCACAGCAATGATTTGTGTCTTTTTTCGTAGCGGATTGCGTCTGGGGCCCTTATGCTTTTCCACTCAAGACGTCACCCCAAAAAGAGAATAAGCCTGAACCTGGCTAAACAAGTGTTGTTCAAATCCCTCAACACAAACAAACGCACGGGTCCTGTGGATGCATTTCTTCGTGGGATTTGGAGCTTGCTGTAAGGCCCGAAGTCCAACCGGCAGCTTTCCAAAGCAGCATGCCGCAGCATGCAGCCATCCCAATGGACATGTATTTCAGGGCCCCGTCAAAACGAATCCAGTGGGGTGACAGGAAGCCATCGAAAACCCGAGGTCCTTGTGGTTTGCATCCAGCGCTTTGAAGGCTTTCCTCAGAGAGCCCGGAAATGAGAAAGAGCATCTACCAATGGATCGACCTTAGAACCTGTCTGAGGGCTCCTGGAAGACGACGTGTCCTTCAAAAGCGACCGATTCTCTGGTTCCATAGTAGTGGCCAGGGTAATGAATAGAAAAGCAACGAGGCAAATCATTCCAAAAATCCGAGGCTCGCTCGGCAACTGAGCTTGCGCTCCTGCGCTCACTCACTCCGGTCGCGCCCGTTCATCTCCTTCAGCTCGATTCACCCAGGCTAACCGTTAATGATGGCGAATTCAGGCACCAGCAACCAAGACCCAGCGGTTTATGTTTCGGTGCATGCAGTCAGCCTTTGACTAAGGAACCCAGCTCTACATGTAAATCCGCATATGCATATATATATATATACATAATTTATGTATTACATATGCAAACTGCGAAAGGGTTTGAAACAGAGTTTCGGGATGGATAAAACAGGCCCTAACCCACCAACAAGAAGAGACCACCTTATCCCCCCGGTCCCAAGGGCAAAGCAGTTGCCCCCGGCCGGCACGAACACGAACCAAAAGGGGTGCCTCGTTGTAACAAGAAGGAACCAAGCAGAAGCGCAGCACAGCGCAAAGCAAGCAAGCAAACCAGCAGCAAGCAGCACCAAGCGAGCGAAGCGAGCAAGCGTGCAGAAGCAAAACAAAGGGCGACCTCCCAACTCAACACCCGACCCACCTCCACGAAGACCCGGACCACGGCCTATCAGCTCCGCGCACTTTTGCTTGGAGATGATGGCCAGTGACGCCGCGAGCGAGTGACGAGATGGCAGGTGAGAACTGCCGGAGATTAAACTTGAGCCAAAATACCGCGTTGGGTATTGGCGTGCTACAAACTGCTATGATAAAAGTACATGCCCCCAAAAACACCCCCCTCGCCTGTACAAAGAGAAGGAGTGAATTTGGAAGGGCGCATTGGCCATATTGAAGTTGAAATGCAATAAACAAGACAAACAAAGCCGATTAGGCTACCAGGGTTCGCGACCCCATACCCGGGCACTCATTGGTGCCCGGATCCCGCCACCACCCCGAATTACGGGTATGGGGCGGATTCTCGCCGGTAGCCAAATCAAACAAGAGAAAGCAACAAAAGAAAAGAACAAAGGATCAACTTCGGAATGGCCGGCATAAAGCCGAAGAATTGTCATTCTGGAAACTGGTCACCCTTGTGACCTCCACCCTTGGGCCAGGAGTGCGCAGGGGCTTTGCCCTTTTGCTGATCCCCCTTTGCCCTGGAATCAGGTCGCGGGGTAGCAGACCGTTGGTCTCCCCTAGGAGTGGCTGCCCGCCTGTGGTGCTTCCCAGTCGGCGGGTCAGCAAAAACAATGGCGCATTGGCCATCGCGCTGTGCAGCGGGGACCATGTCAACTTTGTTGTTTTCGACATAAATGTATGCCTCAGCATACTCAATCGGGGCCGTGATGGATCCACCACTGCCCCGCAGAGAGTCGATACTCAAATCAAGAACTGTGGAGGCATCAAAACTTGGGTCCTCACTATTGAAGTCCGCGAGGCGTCGCTCAGCCTGCACCAATGACATTATGATGTCCGCGCGTGAGGCGCCTAGGCCATACAGCGGAACCAAATATCCGTCCTCAATTCCGATGCGGTAGGCATCATAAATATGCACAGAGAGGTAAAGGGCAAATGCTGAATTTAGACTGCCCTTTCTCGTCATATGACGACCCCATTGCGCCGCCTGTTGCGGGTGCTCGATCAAATATGTCATGACAGACATATTGTCGGGAATTGGGACGCCAGTATTGCTCTCTTCGATGAGCAGCTGTTTCGCTACCCACCGCTCGAGAGCCTCATCACTCGCACGCACACAAGCGTGAGTGTCCTTTGAGGTGACCTTTGCAACCTCCTGAAACGCAACTTGCACGATATCCGCATTGGGATTGTGCACAAGGTGCGGCGCACAGCGCAAACCGGAGATCATACAGCTGACCACCTCGCGGATCGGGTTTACCGATGCCATGAGAGGAGCCCACACGTCGGTCTCCCCTTCATACCAGCTGCTGGCACGGACTGCCTTGAGTCCGTCCAACCAGACTGGCTGCCCTCTCCTAACTTGGGAGCGGATGGTGCCTGGCACCCACTCTCGATAGAAAATCGGCAAATGGCAACCATTGCATAGAATGGTGCCATACATGTTCAAATGCGCGCACCGAGGGCACCAGTAGTCATGCATGGGAGCTTTGTCCCATGAAAATGACACCCCTCTCCGCGGTCCCTGAACATTCAACTCACGGACCGCCCAGGGACGGATGTATATTACATCCCCTTCCTGGTGCAGATAGCATGCGCGCCAGAAGGGCGCATGTATCTCCTCTCGCACAGCAATCAAACCGCGTCGGGTTTTGTAGATGCCGGCGGCTTCCTCGATGGCCATCCACTTTAGGTCAACGGCCACAACGACATGGCGCTTGTCCATGTATTTGACGCGGTCGTCAACATAAAATTCGCCCTCATTATTGGGGCTTGGCAACTTGAGGAGAGGCACCTTTGCGCCCTCCAACCCAATCATGATCTCCCCCCTGCAGACCTGCTCAGGTCGCATGGGGAAAACTGTGATGGCGAATTTGCCGGGCCTCCGGATGCACCTCGTTTTGAGGGCGGACCGATACTCGGCCATCGTCAGCAGCACGTATCCCGTATAAGGGACCTCCGCTGCTCCCATCGGCCTAAGCAAAGGCCCCATAGGCGTTCGGTCACGCAGTGCCCAACGCTTGAAAACTTTGAACGGCACGTCCCTCCCGATTAGGGTGGAACGCGCAAAAAGCACCTCATTCGGGCGCACAGTCGTGCCATCTCCCCTCCAGACTGTCCGTATTAGGAGCTCGACTGGAGGGTACGCTGGGTTCTCCTTCGCAAGAGAACCCGCCCAGGTCGCCACCTCGACGCTCGTGCACTTATGGATCCCGTATAGGGCCTCAAAAAGCGTTGAGATTAGAGTCATTGACATCCAACCTCCCAGAATGTCTGGAACCGTCCCACACAAGAAGGGAGCCGGCTCACCGGGCTTCACGTTCAACCGCGTTGGGTCAGTGTTGCCCGACAAAATTTCTAACAGCATTTGCGACTCTCTGGAGCTTCGTCCAATCATCGCCGACATATCCTTAATTTCGGGGAAAAAATGGAAGATGTCGTTACCGGCAGGACAGGCGATTCTGCCTGCTGTCCCGCTCTGTGCATCAAACACAACCTCTTCGCCCTCGTATGTGAGGTTGTATGTGCTCGCAATCGGACACACATCGGGCTTTGCCATCAGTGCCTCCCCTAGCGACGCACCAGCAGGGAGGACGCCCTGTACGTGCGCTTTGGTACCTATGGGACCAGTCCCCGCCGACATAAGCCGATAATTTTCGGCACGAAAGTATGGAAAAAGGTTCTTCATCCTCTCAATTTCCTCTTCAGTGGTACGCCACGCCTTTGCCTCATAGTAAGGCTCCTGCTTTGAGGGCACTAGGTCGCGGTCGCCCATTGATGAGAACTTGTCCACATATGGGCCCATCCCATCATCATCTACGTGACTCTCGTGATCCTCATCCGAGACGTACTCCCTGGGCGGCTCGCCCAGAGCGTCCAGATCGACCTTACCAAGGTCAACCAACGCCGGAGAATCCAGGATTCTCTGGATCCTCATGAGCTCGTTTCTGAACTGCTCAAAGCCTCCGGCCTTCTCAGTTACGGAGGTCGGCATTACGCCCTCCCATGATTCCGGAAACATGCACACATTCGTAGGGGAATACTCGTCATCGGAAATATCCCGATCACGCTCCCGTACATCGCTGATCAGTGTCACATCCAACAAGCCGCTTAGGGCCTCAGGACGCGACGCTTTCGCCGGATGCGGCTTTGCGCTCTTTGACGCTACAGCAGCCTCTTTGGCCGCTCTGTTCTTCTTCTCATCGCCCTTACTCCCCTCTTTATCCACATCCATTGCGGACTGCTGTGCGCTCCCCCCCGCCCCGCCCATTGGCGGTTCAGAGGGTTGGGCAGGGGATTCCTTTGTGCGGGCTTTGCCGAAATAATGCCCTGGGATCTGCACGCTCCCAGTGGAGCCACCGCCAGTCTCTCTTGGACGCTTGGCGGTGTGAGCCGACCCAGTATGTACAGCAGGAGCCGACCGCCTAGGAAGGCCCTTACTGACCGACAGAGATGGAGGAGGTGGCTTCATCTTGGGAGCCGGCTCCGCCTTGGGCGCCGGTTCCGGGTCAATTACGCAGGACCTGAGGTCGAAACTTTCAGACCTCAAAAGGCCCGCGCAATAGGAACGGAAGACGTCCTCAACCTCCCGAGCAAGGAACTCGGGATGGTCCTCCTCCCTCGGAGGAGTTCTCCAGTCGTCATATCCATCGAGCAGATTCCTGCCCACGATTTCATTGAATCGATACGTGCCCAAACCGGCATAGCGGTTGGCAGCCCGAAGAACATTACAAAATCTTTCGACCTTTTCGGTCGCCGCAATGGCCGCAGCCATCTGAGGGTGAATATACCCCGTTTCAATCATGCATCCTGCGGCTTCGCGCAAGCATGACCTCGCACGCCACAGATTCGCGGCGGCCTTGTAAAAGTCGCAGTACTCAACGTTCCACGTTGCGTCCTGCGCGCTGAGCTCATCATCTCCGCTTTGGGAGTCGGGCAGAGTGAGCCCCAAACGGATCTCCCGACCGCGGAATACGTCGGCGGAGATCTGGTTCGAATTCGGCTGATCCTCCAGCGGAGGACGGGGAACATATTGTTTCCCTGGGCCGACACATGACTCATTTGCCGCTTCCCTGTTTGGATGCTCCCTTTCGGTTTGCATCTGGTTAAACCGTGCGACTAGGTCCGACCGGGGGCCAAACGACAATGGCCCAAGATTATCCTCAGCCCAATCAGCAAGCGCTTTGGCTCCTGCGTGATGAATGTCATCGGCATTCATCGTGTCAGACAGAATGGCCTTTGACAGGAAATCCCAGTCGTA